GCCAGCGCTAACAAAACCCCCACTGTCCTACACAAAAAGAAAATGAGCCAGCGGCGACCAGCAGTGCCAGGGCCATACCTGCCAAATCCCGTGCGTACTGCTCCCTTGAGCGATCCATCTGACACTTGTGGCTGGCCAGGACCTTCTTGACGAGATCCAGCATACCAAAGTTCTGGACTATGTTGTTGAGTAAAACAGCATCTTAAAAACAAGACACAAATCTTTGAGGAAAGCAGAATTCCCTACTCAAAAGTATTTCAGTGAAAAGCCGCACGACAGCAAACAGATTCATCTCAGATGGCCAAAATCTGCGGGAAGGTATGCCAAGAAACTGGGGAAGAGAAGACAGGAGAAGACATGAGAAAGCACAAGAGGTCACCAGCACACAAACAATCCTCTCCTGCTTAGCAGGGACAATAAGAAAACCACTGGCACAACAGCTGGTTGCTGCAGTGTTGTTTGATGGCTTAAATCCCACTCCAGCTCCCGAGCCAAGCGTTTGTCCAGACCCAGAGCCAGCAGATAGGAAGCCTCCAGCAGCCACAGAACTGAGGCCACCTGAAGCATCTTCCGGCACCCTGAAACACTCCCCCGCCCCACCCCGGAGCCTGCTCGGGGACCAGCCAGAAATGCAACTGAGTTACGATGAGCCGTGTCCCTACAGTGTCACCCAGACATCCCCCAGAAGAAAAAAAAAAGCCAACGAGCCCCTCTGAGCACCCATGCCCAGGTCCTCACCTCCGAGCTGCAGCGGGGGATCCTGCGCTCGCTGCTGCAAACCCTTCATGGTCTCCACTAGCTCCTGGTGGAGCTCCTGGATTACTTCTTCCAGGAGACCAGTGTCCTTCAGGCTTCGCCAGAAAGCGAAGGTGTTGTCTGAAGAAAGAGAAAGTAAGGGAGAACCTCAAAATCCTCGGAGGGAGTTTTGGTGGTGATTTGCTCTAAGTTCCCCTTGTGAGCCCTGCGAGGGTGAATTCCTGCGAGGCTGAGGGTGCTGGTACCCGAAGGGGGGCAGCTGGAGAAGGACACGCTTTCCCCATCCTCCGTCACACACAAACAGGACACCGATGCCACAGAAAAGCTGCGAGCACACCAGAGCAGCAAGAATGATTTTATGACCCCTCTGATCTTTTTCTTATTTTACTTTTATTTTTCCTAGAGCCACACAGAGCGTTTGGCCTACGCTTTGACACTGTGGCACTCAGCAAGAAGGGTCCTGCTCCTTATCCCTGCTACCGCCCTCCCGGCCCCGGGCCCCACGGGTTACGCAAAGCCATACCTCCAATGCTGGTGCTCCAATCGCCCGCATCCTCACACGTTTCTATGGTAATCGTAGCCGGGGATCCATTCACTGCAACCGAAAAAAAAAGGGGGAAAAAAACCCCCCAAATCCAAGTCCCGATTTTTTTCTGTATTTTTTTTTTTCCATGGGCTGTTCCCGGGTGAAGCACTCCCTTGCTGCATTTCTGCAACTTCTTTTTATTGCACAGGACGCCTTTTATTTGAAGGCAGCTCTCCAAGCTGAGCAGAGAGAGACGCGGATGTTGTGCCAGCAGGAGTTATTTTTTCCACACTGGAGTGCAACACCCCAGGGATCACTTCTGCAGCCCTTGCACAAGCTCAAGTGCCCCAGAGCTGCATTTCCCTCCCATTCCCCGCTGCGTACACACCAGCACTGCGTAGGGCAAAAGTCAAACAGATTTAGAGTCTGATTTTTTTTCTTTTTTTGGGGGTAATTCTTTTTTTTGTCCAGCTTGCAGGACTGGAAGGTCTGGAGGGTTTCTAAAGCCTCGTAGGGGAGAGCACTCCCCCACACTGTGCAGGGATGCAGGGGGGCTCCCTTCCCCTCCTACTCTGCCAAACCTCAGCGGTTTTGTTACCACAGAGCTGCAAGGCAGCGAGGACAGAAAAGGGACTTCAACGAGCAACGACTACTGTCTTCTTACAGATTAATCGCAGTCTTCTGCTTCAGCTACACACTTTGGGGTAGGGCAGGAGGCCAGAAGGGCGGCTTTTTGGGTCACGCAGCGCTACAGAGCCACTAGGCAAGAGTTACTGAGTCTCTGCCGAGATGCTCTAACGACGACTCTGCCCAGCTTTGCTACGGGGAATCCCACAACAGGGCAGGGAGAGAAAGGAGAGGATAAAACAACCCACAGAGCTGGAAAACCGTAGCGGGGGCTGGTTATGCAGCATTCGTTGTGATTTTATGTTTCAAACCCCCCATTTAGGGCAAGGGGAACGGCTGGACGTACCATCCGCAGAAGCGGGAGTGAGAGGGATGTACTCGGTCGATGTCTGGCTGGTCAAGGACACCCTGGCTCCGGTCAGGTCGATTTTGGTGCTCCTGCAGGTGTTGGAACAGACCTTTGTGTGCTGGTAGAAATCCAGCTCTCCTGAGTCCATGATCTTGCTGAAAGACAGGGAGGAAGCACAGGGACAGGCTCGTCAGCGGGAGCAGAGAGCGCCGAGGTGCAACTCCTGGCAGCCTTCAGCCCCAAACTTCTCAAAAGTCCCAGTTGAAAAGCAAAAAAACCAGGAGAGGAGACAGGGGAAACAGAATTTTCCCATGTCCTGACCTTAAAGGCAGCATTAACTAAAAGTTAATTAAACCAGCATTCACGGCCTGCTCTGCACTGGCTACACATACAAACCCAGCAACTGCACAACATTCCGATGGTGGCGAAGCCTTTCAGGAGGCTGGGATGGGGAGAAGAAAGCCCACCATGCTGTAGCTGTGGTAAAGCACTGGAGCAGATTGGCTTTCTGACCAATTCCCTGCCACATCCTGCATCCTCCTGCAGGACCTCAGCCCTCTGGAAAGGCTCCTCTCCAAGTCTAACCTACAGAGGATGCATTTCCTTCCTCCAAGAAATCCCTTTTCTTTGCTGCTGGGGCTGGTCCCACCTCTCTGAGAAGGGTTTTCTGCTTGGGGGGCTGCTATTTTAACCTGCAACCCTTGCTGGGACTGATGGATCCTGATCTGCTGAGGGAGGAAGGAGAAGGGCCCAGCCTGGTCCCACCAGCACCGGTCTCAGCTCTACACCTCACAAAGAGATGGGGCATAACCCAACTCAGGAACCAGGATAAGGCTCTTGGCTTAAACCAAGGAGGCTGCAACATCAACATCCATGACCTTCCCAGCCCAAGCCCCTTCTCTCCGCAGCATCCCAAGGCTTTGCCGGCCACCAACACCCTCAGCTTCCCAGGATTTGCTCTCATGGGCTGCCAGGCTTGGGATGTTTCATTGTTTATTTTTTTTTTTTGGATCTTCAAAGATCTGCCTTAGCATAAGCGTATTATGCAAAAATCTATGTGGAGCAAAAGCCGCTTCGAAGGAATACGAGAGATGCCTGCACTGAAGCAGAAGAATAGAGGCAAAGGCAATGTCACCCTTTGAGAAGAGTACAAAACCACTGGCAGCTCCAAAGAGGTGATGCTTTCTTATCCTGCCTACAGACAGACTCTAATTAAATCATGGTCTCGTCTTCTCAAGAGCAGAGAAGAATTAAATTACTGTAGTTAAGAAATCTCTGCTGTCGCTCTGCAGGTAAAAATGAGGAGACTAACCGGAGCATGATGCCATTCATCCGGATCGCCCGCTTCCAATCCTTCAGGGTCGACTTCCCTGCCAAGTGGACAAACTCCTTAGGGCTTATTAGGTGATCGTCAAACTGCAAAAAGCAGAAGCACAACAAGCCATAAAAAAATAACGGAAGCATTGCCCGAGATAAAAAAAAAAAAATTAAAAAAATTAAAGCCGAATATTGTTTTTGTGGACATTTAGTTAAAGGCTGCTCAAAACCAAAGGTCTGGGGGAGGCACAGCACAGAGGGGTTTGCTGAATGCCCAGCCCAGGCAGGGCAACTGGAAAAAAACCCAGTAGCTTGGGCAAAGTATCATCACCAGCAGTGAGCTGCTCGTGCTCCCACTCATGTGTGGGCACGCTACACCCCACACAAGCCAGGGAAGGAAAAGTCCATTCGGTCTTTGACCTCCCGCTCCCGAGCCCAGCCACTGATACCGGTGAAACCTCTGGCCTCTCCCCACAGCAGCCACTCGCTTCTCCCAAAATCCAGCTTTGGGAAGCGGATGCACACCATGCCAGCAGCCAGTGCTTCCCCTGCTTTTTTTATTGCCCTACACATCTGGCTGTGCCTGAACCCACGAGCCGAGCTAAAGCAACCTGCAGAGTCAGGCTGTTCTCTGAAGAGCTGCTTCACAGCCCATCTCAGGAAGGATTTTTCAAGTCCAGGTCTCTTGTTTCCATGGGACGTGTTGACCGTCACAGAGCTCCCTCGCCATCACTGCACAAGAAACTGCTGCTCTGAACAAGCTCATGGGCTTTGGTGCAAAGAGAGGACGGATTTTAGCAGCCTTATCTGCAGCAGTGCTTGTCCTCTGCCTCACGGATAGAAAAGATCATCTCTCCCACGAAGGGCAAGGACAATCCTTTGGAAATTCTCCTTGCAAGAGTCCAGCAAAGTATTGTTGACCGTGGACAAAAGCCAGCAATGGCTTATCAACAGCATCGCTCACGGTTTGTTCCTGAATTCATGCAAAATTTAACCACAAGTTATCCCAGGGCACCATGGAAAGCTCTTCAGTAGTTCCCCTACCAATAAATTTCTCAAGGAATTTGAGGCAGCATTCACTCAGGAATGCTCAGCTCAGCCAAGAAGACAAACACCAGGCAGAACAGTACCCAGAATTTCCTCCTCTCCCACGGCAACGTGGTTCTGAGCTTACCAAAGCTCAGCAAAACCAAGACAAGCCTGGTGAGCTTGCAACACGGGCACGGGAAGGCACGAGGGCAGCGTCAGGAACCTTTATTCTCACCTGCACACACTTCACGTTGATCCCAGGACACACAAACTTCCTCCAGATGAGGTTGGCTTTGCTGTCCCCGCAGGTGATGGGGTAGACAATCTCTGCCTCTAAAGTGTCCTCATCTTCAGCCATCTTCACTTCTCACAGGGAACAGAGCAAGGGACAGAGCAAAAAGAAACATGAGTTGCAGCCCCCAGTGCAGCACCCTGAGGCACACATACAGTGATAAAGCAGTTTTGAAGCTCAGGATTATGAAAAAAAAATAATAATAAAAAAAGATGATGCATAGTGGGGTGTGTCGGGGTTTGTGGCCAGCACTCACTTGCGCTTTGCTACTAAACGCATCCAACCACACAAATTTCTGAAACAGAACTGGGTAGGCTGATTTATACCAATGTGCCTGCACCTTAGCGTGAGAAATCTTGAGAGCGCAGTGGCCAAGGCTGAAAAAATCCAATACTTGATAAAAACAAAATGAATTACGTTGTTCAGCTAATTATAAACTCATCCTTGGCCTTAGAGTAAAACTGGTTTTAAGTCAGCTCCAGCCCAGCGGGTCACAGTCTTTGCTCACTAAATTAATTTTTCCTTGTAACCTGAAACCAGCAAGTCTGCTGCAAAGCTGACATCCCCGCTGCAAGCTGAAGGGCAGGAGCCAGGGATGGCCAGAGAGGGTCTCATCCT